TCCTTAGCTGGCTCCAAGCGGTGCTGCAGCAATTGCTGTGTCAGAAAAGGCTTTTTACAGAACCCCAACCTTGTAGCATTTCCTTGAGGACCGTTTGAATTCCCATCTGGGAACACTGGTGGGTTCTTTTCTGAGGGGCTGAGCATGGTTTGAGTGGCACTTGTACAGATACAGAAAGCCTGAAGGGGATGCAGCAGCTGCGTTAGGACCAGATTAACTGAGGAATTCTCCCACTGCCCTGCCTGCAGACCCATGTTGTTACCTCAGGATGGAAATGATTCCCATGGGCTGAGGAATTCCAGTGCCTGATTCTTTGCTGATGTGATTTGTGTCCTAAGGAGTGAAGGGAGAGGGATTTGCATCAATAGGTCATTGCAGGAGGTTTTGCCATCGGCAGGGAAGTGCCAGAGAGCAGGAATTGTTCACAGGAGAGATCTGACCAGGCCAGAGGCTCTCCAGCTCCTGTGGTTATTGCTATGCCTTGCACAGTGTTTGATGCCAGGTCCTGTGAGTAGGGACCCTCAAGGGAAGAAGTCCAGGGAGCAGACCAGGGACACAAGGAGAGGGACTGCAGCAAATCCACTGAGCTCCAGGAGCTGCTTCACTTGCTGCCCTGGAGCAGCTGCATCCATAGATGAGATTTATTGAGGCAGAAGAGGCACATTCACACCTAAAAGGCATTTAAAGGGTGTTTTGTTGTGTAGAGCTCCTGAGGTTTGAAACTGGTCCCAGGTGCAGCACAGGGCAGTGCTGTGTATAATGTTGCAGCCCGGGGCACATCGGAGCAGCAGCATCCAGGGAAGGGTGCAGTGAATCACAAAATGCATCATGTGCAGAGGGTGGGATTCAGCTGGAGGCCAGGGATCCATGCTGAGCTCAAGGGAGAGCTGCTGCATGGAAATCACCTTGTTTGTTTTACAGTTTGGGATAGTTTGGGAGTGTTTGCCACTCTGCCATGAGGTCCTGGAGGAGATGGCCTCGAAGCTTTTATAGGGAGGTAGCAACACTCTGGTGATGCTGTGGACTTGTCTATGATGACTTGCCTGGCCGGCATCCAAAAGATAAAACTGAGCCTTGTCTTTACTAATGGAATAACAAGCAAGTTGTAGTTCCTCCACTTTAAAAGCTTATCTTTATGTGGTCAAGATAAGGCTTTAAATGTGGGGAGATAACCGCCTGGCTTTAGAAAACAATCTTTTGCAAAGGGGCAAAAAGAAAAGACTGGTTTGTGTTGGAAGGGAGCTTAAAGATCCTCCAGCTCCAAACCCTGCCATGGGCAGGGACACCTTCCACTAGAGCAGCTTGCTCCAAGCCCCTGTGTCCAACCTGGCTTTGAACACTTCACTTGAATGCAGTGATTTCCTTTTCCTGCCTCTAATCCCCACTCAGGGCACTGCTCTGCCTGCTTCCAGATGAAACAGGGGAGACTGAGATGAGCTCTTAGGCAGAAGCTCTTCCCTGTGAGGGTGCTGAGGCGCTGGCACAGGGTGCCCAGAGAAGCTGTGGCTGCCCCATCCCTGGCAGTGTTCAAGGGCAGGTTGGACACAGGGGCTTGGAGCAAGCTGCTCTAGTGGAAGGTGTCCCTGCCCGTGGCAGGGGTTGGGGCTGGATGAGCTTTGATCGTCCACTGGATGATCTCTTTTATCAGTGCTATGAAGGTATTTACTGTGCTTCAGTCAGACCTGAGAACCAGATGCTCTTAAATTGCAGCTTTTGAAATGATCCTTGAAATGAAAAGAAGAAATTAATAATAGAACAAAGAAAGGCTTCAATTGTCCTCCAGAAACAGGAGTTTCAGTAGTGTCATGTAAGGAGAAGGGCAGGATTTACCGGCAGCAGATCCAGGCTGCGGGATGTGGTGGGGGATCAGAAGCCCGTGGTGCTTTGTAGCAAGGCGTTCCCTCCATCTCCACACAAGACTCACTCCTGGGAGCACAGGGGACAGACCCACACAGTTCCCTCCTCTTTGAGGCACTCAGGGTCTGGCCATGGGTCACTTCTGCTGCTGGGGCTTGAATGTTCTTGCAGCCAGCCCTTTGCAGGGAGTATTTCAGCCGCAGCAGCCATGGGGCAGATGGGTGCGAGAGGGTCTGGATGTACAAGATTCTCCTTTTATTGCCTGAGTTTTATTATTTCTTGCATGCATTAATAGGACAGCAGGAGGCTTCATGTGCTTTTATGGTGTCTGTTGCACTCTCTAATGGGTATATGCCAAAGCTCCAAGGCACATAAAATAGACACACTTAGCCAGTTACGATGGTAAAAATGATGTGCATGCCGTGACCTCTGAAGCAGTGGGACTCTGCGTGCACGCTCCTGGGCTACGCCGCTGTTCTCAGCTCCTTTCTGAAGCGCTCCTCGCTGTAGGAGGTTTACACAGGAGCTTGGACTGGTTTTCTAATCAGCAAAGAGCCTCTTGGCTCTGAGGGGGGCTTGCAGAGCACAGAGGAGCGAGGGAAGGGAAGAGGGATGACATTTTCTAAGGGAACTAAGAGAGAGGAGGTTAAAGGCAAACGGTGAAGCACAGCATGACAATTCTGGCACCGGCTGCAGGGCTGGCAGCAAAACACTGGTCCAAAAAGTTCTTTGCGTGCTTTGAGGTGAAAGCTGTTCTGGGGCTCTTGAGGATGAAGGAGGGAAAAGTTTCGTTATCCATGTGCCCTATTTAAAGAGGCTTTTTTGTTGGTTTCAAACTTTTAATAGCAGCGCAGCCAGAACTTGCTGTGCTGCGCATCGCCCTCGTGTGTGTCAGACACTGATGGAGGGATCTGCAGTGCTCTGTAGGGAGCGGGGAGTGAGGTGTCTGCTGTGCTGCTCAGGCAGGCGTGGAGGGAGGGCTCTGTCCTTGCTCTGCTGCATCCCTCAGTCTGTGCTGGTGGGAAGGACTGCTCCATCTGGGGATGCAGATGGTTGCTCTGGGCCAGTCCTGGTGTGGGTGTTGGGTGCTGTGGACAAAATGCTTCAGCGGCACGCCTGGGAGGTTACAGGCACCAGATGGGATGGAGACTGTTGGCAAAAGTATAGCTGTGCTTTGATGCCTGCTTCATAGAATCATGGAATGGTTTAGGTTGGAAAGGACCTTAAGATCATCCAGTTCTAACCCCCTGCCAGGGGAAGGGATGCCTCACACTAGACCCTGTTGTCCAAGGCTCTGTCCAACCTAGCCTTGAACGCTGCCAGGGATGGAGCATTTACCACTTCTCTTGGTACCCTGCTCTATTCCCTCACCACTTACACCATAGCCTTCTGCACGCTGGTGTGGGGGCTGCAAACAGCTTGAGTCCCTGTCCATCCTGCATAGAATGCATGAGGAAGCAAAAGTTGGAAGTCCTGGAGATGTGATGGATTCCAAAATGCTTGAGGAACGTGAGGGGTCCTGCAGGGCGAGCAGCAAGGCCTGATGTTGCTCAAACTGATGTTAATACCGAGCCCCCATGGAGATGCTCAGCTGCATCCCCAGTGTAACAAATGGGAAAGATAACACTGAAGGGTTTTAAAATCAAGCATTCCCTTGAATTATTGACCATGATGATCCCCGTGCAAGCCGAGCCTGGATGTGTGCTTCCGGAGTGACCCAGCTGAGCAGTTACGTGGCTGGGTGTCAGTGACCTGTCAGCTCTGAGGCTCTTCATTGTTCTTAGCGTGTTACGAATAGTACCCTGGAGAGGAGGACACAGGCTGGTAGGGAGAAAGACTTTGGTTTGCACTGGTGGCTTCCCCAAACTGGGGTGTGTGTCGGTATGCTCAGAGTCCCAGCCTGGTTTGGGTTGAAGGGACCTCAAAGCCCCTTCAGCTCCAACCCCTGCCACGGGCAGGGACACCTTCCACTGGAGCAGCTTGCTCCAAGCCCCTGTGTCCAACCTGCCCTTGAACACTGCCAGGGATGGGGCAGCCACAGCTTCTCTGGGCACCCTGTGCCAGCGCCTCAGCACCCTCACAGGGAAGAGCTTCTGCCTAAGAGCTCATCTCAGTCTCCCCTCGGGCAGGTTAAAGCCATTCCCCTTGGCCTGTCCCTACATCCCTTGTCCCAAGCCCCTCTCCAGCTTTCCTGTAGCTCCTTTAGTTACTGGAAGGCTGTTATAAGACGGTTTTAATGTCTCAACTGAGATGTTGGTTTTGCATGTATGGGTATGACATTTTGGAAGCCTGGTGAGGAGGGCTGTGATCAAGGGAATAACTGCTGCTGCTGGAGGCTTTCCTGTTTGCTCTGTGCAGGAGGAATGGGCAGAAGGTCCTCAAGTCTTTGAAGGTGGAGAGGGGAAAATGCAGCCTGGCTTTTCCTAGCAAACTGACGGTCCCTGTGTAAAACATGAGCTCCATGGGGCAGTGTGGCACAACCTGCTGTGTGAGAGTGGTCCTAGCTGGGCACCCACGCTGCATCTCTGGAACTCAGCATCACTTTGGACCACAGAGCAGCACATGTCCAGGGGCACATGTAACTTTGAATGTTCAGTTGAAGTGAGCCTGATGAGTTCAGGATGGCCACAGCACTACAGGGGCTTTTCAAATGGCTTTGAGGATACTTCGTGCAGGGCTGGTGCTGGGCCAGAGTCCAAATATCCTGGGTGTGATTACACTCCTATAAATATTTTCCTTTTCATAACAGAACGTCAGCATTTACTGTTTCCTGATTTTTAAACACTGGTCACTTTGTCAACCATTTATCTGTGTTTTAAATTAAGTCTGGAGATAGGATTCCTGTTAATATCAAATCGATGTGTAAGGGGGGGGGAGAAAGAAATTGCAGTCTATCCCTTTTGTGGGATCAATATTTCCTTTAAAAGCTGAAATGCAAACTGAATCAGAGAGTTTTGCCGTTTGAAATGGAGCTGGTGTTAAAGAGCACATGGGTTTCCCATGAAGATGGGTTTGCAGCAGGCACGGCTGCCAGCCAGTGTGTGACCCAAAGTGGGCAGGATGGGACCAGCCTTTGCAGCAGCAATCCCTGTGTCCGAGCTCATCTCTTCATGAACTCTTCCCTTTTCTGTTGTGTTTTGCAGAAGCCTTTGAGATTGTGGTGCGGCACGCAAGGAACTTCACCAACAGCATGTTTCGGAGCCACTACCAGAGCATGGGGCCCAGAGCCCTGAAGTTTGTCGGAGAACTTTTTACTGATGTCTCTCTGTACATCCTGGGCTCTGACCTCAGTGTCAATGACATGATCAATGAGTTCTTTGACAGTTTATTCCCTCTGGTTTACTCGCACTTGCTGAATCCCGGCTTCCCCGAGCCCTCCGTGGAGATGGCTGAATGCCTGCGGGCAGCCAGGAGGGACCTCAAAGTCTTTGGGAACTACCCAAAGATGATGATGACGCAGGTGTCCAAGTCGCTGCAGGCCACCCGAGCCTTTCTGCAGGCTCTCAACCTGGGGATTGAGGTGATCAACACCACCGACCACCTGAAGTTCAGCAAGGACTGTGGCCGAGCCCTGCTGAAGATGTGGTACTGCTCACACTGCCAGGGGCTGCTCCTGGCCAAGCCCTGTGCCACCTACTGTGCGGTGGTGATGCAAGGATGCTTGGCGGGTGTCATAGAGATCGATAACCACTGGAGAGAGTACATCAGGGCTCTGGAGGGGCTGACCAAAGGCATGCATGGCATCTATGACATGGAGCACGTCCTCCTGAACCTCTTCTCCTTGGTACGGGATGCAATCATCTACGTGCAGAAGAACGAAGGAAAGCTCTCCCCAACTGTGAGTACCTCCATGAGCTTGCTGCCGTGGCAGGGCTGTTGTGTACCACAAGCTCTGCATGTTGAAACCAACCTCCCCCTTTCCTCCAGCCAACAAACCCTAAATGCTCCTATTGCCAGCTACTTTCTCCTTCCCCACCTCTCAAAAACTTCTGGTAGTGTTTGAAACTGGGGTCTGTGGGCCTGGGATGGTCAGAGAAGGACCGTGGGAGTATCGGCTTATGGATTTTGTGTTGTGTGCCATTCAGCCAGCAGCACTCTCCTGTGCCATCTTATGTGCTTGGTGATGGCCTTATCTGCTTGGTGATGGCCTGAGACATACCACCGCAGCGTGCAGGCAGGACTCATGGGCAGCACATGAGGCTCCAGGGTTCAGAGCAGGACACTGCTTTCAGCCTGCATGCCTCAGCCCCTTCCTGCAGGAACCCCCTGTTTCACAGCAGCCTGCCAAGCATCTCTCATGTCCCCAGGACCAGCTGATAGGCTCCAAGAGCCGTGGCTCTGCTGGGCTCAACTTCTGCTGCCATGGAGCCAGGGCAGGGTCTTCCCCCATCGGTCAGAACCTGCCAACCCTCTCTGGAACAGCAGAGGAGCAGAGATGTAACTGTAGGTTTAGCTTGAGGTCAGGTGAGATGAAGTCATGTTAAAGGTGTGATAATGATGTATGCAGGAGAGAACACCCAGCTCAGCTCTAAGCCCAGCTGGGACTTCCAAGGCAGTAAGGATCAAAACCTGCTTCTGCTTGTAGTGTGAGCCTATTTCATCTCAAAGAGCAGCTGACATATTCAGCTGTGAGCAAAAGCATCCAGGATGCTATGCACCAGCAAACCTGCTCTGCTTAGTAGGTGCTAAGGCAGAACAGAGCCCTTAGGTGCTGTATGGCTGGTTTTGCAAGCAGACCCCTGTTCATTGCTGTACAGTCCTCAAAGGAGAAGTGTTTGTCCTCCTTTTCATTGAAAGTGTCCATGTATACGGTGAAGGAACATGACTATCAGTTATATTAGTGAACATTGAAACCTTGATCTCCCTACAGAGAAGGTGTCTGTGGGACAACAAGTAGGTGGAGTGTCTCAGGTCAACACAAGCCAAGCCATGGAAGTAGAGCCATCATCTGCCCATCCTCTGCCACAGCAGAACGTTGACTTCCTTTAAAATAAGAAATCGCTGAGCATTGCAAAACCACTCGGTGCTTTCAGACTTAGAGAGCTGTTTGGATTCATTACTGCCTTACAGAGGTAGTACTCAGCTAAATGTAACTCCTCTTGGTTATTTAATACTTACTGATTCTTGGTGATTTGCTCTAAGGCAGTTTTTAGCTATAGAAGTGTAGAGGAACAGAAAATCTAAGCCAGGCCAGCCAATTGTCTGGCAACTGGCACTGAAAGAGAATGGCCACTGGGTTTTTCAAGCTTACTTTTCAAACACCAGTGCTGCTCAGCTGAGGCTCTTCCATCAAATCTGAGCCCAGAGCAACTTCTTCAAGTGAAGGTCTGAGCTGTTCATAGAGAAGTAAGACAGTACTGGCAGCGCTGACAGTCTGAGCTCCAGCCCTGCAAACGCCTGATGCTGATGGCTGGTCTGCACCTGGGATATGGAGTGAACATCTCTGCCCATGAGGGCTAAAATACAGGTTTACTCTTTAGCTGTGCTGGAACGGAAGTTTCTCTGTTAATCTTATCAGCACATACTGGGTTTCAAAGACTCTACTGGTAGCAAACAGTTGTATTTACTGTTATCCTGTAAATATGATTGGTTTTAGACATCATCATCAGATCAAAGTCTAAGATGTCATGAGAGTTGTCTTTGAAAATGTGGGATTTTGCTCTTGTGCTGGCTCCTCCTATCAACCTCTGTTATTACTGACCTTGGCCACCACTGCTTCTGTAGGCAGAGTTCAATGCACATGTATGTTATTAAGGCTAATGACAGGTTATTTAATTGTCATTAAAATCCTCTGGAAGTATGGAAAACTCTTCCATGCCCATAGTGATTACAGCCTGAACAGCAACACAACTGTCCTTGCCTGTCCTATGGGCTGCTTTGGTTTCTCACTGCATTGGTGGCACTTCTGTGGCAGCAGTTTTCCTTCCTGGTATTTCAGGTCTTCGGGTGCATTACCTGACCAAGCATCCTTCCTGCAAGTGGCTGCTCCTCTGTCCCCTGTCACCCACCCCCAGACTGGGTGCAGGCATTTGAATGAACCCCTTCTATAGCTTGCAGCAGGCCTGGCTGCCAAGGGCAGGTGAGTTGAGCTGCAGAGGTGTTGCAGGGCCTCCAGGCAGGTTTCGGAGGAGCTCTGCAGTCCCCGCAGTGAGGAGTCAAAGTTGATCTGCTTTTGGATGCTGTGTGCCCCCAGGCATGCACCTCGATGTCAGCCCGCGCTGGTGCTGTGCTGCTCCCTACCCAGCAGTGGGGAAGAGTGAATTCACTAGGATGTCAGCGGGCAGTTCCCATCCCAAGCCCTGCTTTAACAACTCATTTGGCAGGGATGGATGGGGTGTGTCAGAGCTATATTATTTCTACCCTTTATTTGTTTAAAAACCTTACCCCTAGTATGTGCTGTTAAAATAGCTCACCGGGGAGCCTGACTCTTGGGGCAGAGTGGGGAAATTTCTGTCTAGGGCTGTATCTCTGTTAATTTTCCTATCTGCTGTATTTTTTCTGGTTGAAAATGTGCCTGGTACATCCACCTCTTGTGGCTATTTTAATCCTGAATGCAGAGGAGAGTGATTTCAGTCAGTCTGTTCATGCTCTCTGGCACAAAGACAATCGGAGGGATGCACTACACATAAACTTCATCAAATATTCAATCCCAGCCCTCTTGAAGTTAATGCTTTATCTGCTGTTGGAAGTGCAAGAGAGACAGTAGATCTGGGTGTCTTACATAGCCAATAGTTGATCTCCTCTGGGGTTAGAATCACAGAATCCCAGACTGGTTTGGTTTGGAAGGACCAACCCCTGCCATGGGCAGGGACCCCTTCCACTAGAACAGCTTGCTCCAAGCCCCTGTGTCCACCCTGCCCTTGAACACTGCCAGGGATGGGGCAGCCACAGCTTCTCTGGGCACCCTGGGCCTCACCATCCCCTCCACTTGGCCATCAAGCTGTTGGCCCCAGCTCTGGCTGTTACCATCATCAGCTCCTCATCCACTGAATGGGTCGAGGTCTCTACTTTAAGCCAGCTCTATAGATGCATTTGGAAAGGTTACAGAATTGAGGTGTGAAGGCTGCTGGATTATATATCCAAGTTAAGGATTTTTTTCTCAACCCTCTTTTCCACCCCTGTAACTCATCAAGGTTTTGAACGCATCCCAGCAGAGTGGGAACCACCAGCAGCTCCCAGCATAGTGAGACACGAACCAAAACACGTGGGTGGCTTGTGGTGAGGCTGTACCATGTATTGCATGTGGGGAGGAGGATGCGCTGCAAGTGTGACTCATCAGAGAGAGGGATGTGCATACTGGCTGCATTAACTTCTTTGTCCTGCATGCCCAGCCCTTCGGATGCGGGTGGCAGGATTTCTTCTGCCCTTTAGCTGTGGTGTGGTGCGTCTCCGTCTGGACATGGAGCTAAAGTTGCCTTGAACAGCAAGATATTACCCTTGGCAGGGCCTCTGTGTGTTAGTGTAGGGTCAGGCATGGAAGATGCTGTGGAGCTGATGTCTGGGAATCATACAATCACAGAATGATTTGTGTTGGAAGGGACCTTAAAGCTCCTCCAGCTCCAACCCCTGCCACGGGCACGGACACCTTCCATTAGAGCAGCTTGCTCCAAGCCCTGTCCAACCTGGCCTTGAACATGTGAATGCAGTGATTTCCTTCTCCTACCAGTAATCCCCAGTCAGGGCACTGCTATGCTTGCTTCAAGCTGAAAAGGGAAATTGAGATGAGCTCTTAGGCATCACTTTGTCCCTGCGAGGGTGGTGAGGCACTGGCACAGGTTGTTATAGCTCCACAGAGAGAAGCAATTTGCTCTATTGCAAACTAGTGTATAGGAATTTGCAGCACCAGCAGACGCACAAGGTTGCAAATCAAGAACAGGTAAGTGAAAGGACTTTTAGCACCCAGGGATGAAGATGTCACTGTCACCATAGACAGTGACTCAGGGCATTTGTGAGCACAGCCGTGCAAGGGTGGTTTTGCCTGGATGCTGCCCGGGAGCTGCTTTTGGAGCTGGCTCACCTGGAAGCTGCTTTGCCTGGTGGGTTACAGCAGCAGGGAGCTCCAGTGAGCTTTTCCTGCCTGCTAATGGATTTCTTTCTGTGCTAGAGACTTGTGAGGAAAGCTTTGAAACTCCAGTGCTGTTCAAGAAGTCGTTCCCTTTGAGATGCCAAAGTTGTTTTCTCTGTATTTTTGATGCAGGTTGCTTTCTGTTGGCATCACTCCTGGGCTGGACGTAGAGCCTCTGTGTTCTCAGTTTCTTTATTGGCCAAGTTTAACCCTCAGGCTGTTCTCTATTGCCTACTGGTAGCCAGCTCAATTTTTCACTTACAGCTGGAAAAACAGGGGAGGGTTTGGTTTTCAGTAAGCTCAGACCCACTCGTAGTTATCCCAAGGTGTGTTTAGCATCTCCTTTTGTTAACCATTCTGTGAGCGGTGGTGGAACGTGACTGAGAAGGCAGAGGTTAAAGCAAGCCCCTGTTCCTGCTACAGGCAGGAAGCAAACAACCTGCTCACCGAGGGCAGTATCAGCAAGGTGATGAAAGCACCTCAGTTCTATTATGATTAGTTGTCTGAAGAGGTTTCAGATTGTAAAGGTTTTCTGGTAGTTGGGAAGCAAACGGCAAGGCACTGAGCTACGAGGTGTTGATTTTCATATAGAAATCCCCATGTTGTTGGCAGCTTGGCTGGTGCTGAAAGAATAAGGGCATGAATTCTTCATGCCTGCAGTTTTGCAACCCAGTATCAACGGTTTTATCCAGTGTGATGCTCCTGGCCTTAAATCTTTGGTTTGATGTTGAATTACAGAGAAGCAAATTAAGGGTCTGCATCTTGTTTTTGGA